ACAACTCGTCAAAGAGACAAGTGAAGCCGATCCTTTGACCAAACGTGTTCTAAACAATTGTGGTATCTCCATTTTTGCCCTGGGTTATTCGCGTTTCCGGTATCATCCTATCATGCCTTCAATGTTACAATTTTTTACCTTGTTTATTTAGATATAGTGTGGTGTGCTACTTTGAGCGACATGGAACCTTCACACTCCAACTGTAGTTCTCTTTCCCCTTTCATCCTTGTGCAGCGAATGTTGATCAGAGTTTGCTTTATTATTATGCAGTTCTCTTTTCTAATCTTATCCCTGTCTCTCTCTTGCTCCGACGAAACGTTTGAGAATGTACCACGTCCACGGTTCAAATTTGAAAATGATCATGCAGACAATGGACTTAGGACTAGGTGTTTTCCTCTAAGTCTTCCTACCAATATGACCATATTGCGAAAACAAGGTCAAACAACGTCTATAATATGGAAGATTGCCCTGACATTCACGACTGCCCTGTGATCAAATGGAACTCATGGCATTGTCGTTTAGGCGTGACATGTCAAAATTGTACGCTGCATTGCTTCATTCCGAGTCACGTCGAAGACCCGGACGAGGCCTACTTTGAACGAGAATAACTTTTGCTATGCAAAGGTAATACAGGTTCAATGGCATCATGAGGCTGGCTCATAAAATCATGTGAAAATCCAGCTATCGGTAAGGGCTGATAATTGAATTTTCTCATCTTGTGCGACGTTGGGTGACTAGAACTCTCGATATCTAATTTTGTCATACAAAGCATCTTTGTGACTGTAAACCTGTTGACTAATTGCACCCGTTTTGTATCAGGCCTTGTACGGCCCCTTATTATACTAGTATTCGATTACTATCATTTCTCCAGATACACATTCTTTTACATTCATATGTACAATTAGTCTAATACAGAGGCTTAGCAACGAGCACTTACAGTCTATCATGCTTCATTAAGCATACCCACATACTCTAGTCCTAACCTGCATATGTGTTCCTGCCTACTCATCCCACCCACTCCTCGCAGACCCACTTTCCCCATGTCGTGAAACAGGTTGAGTACCCTTGGTTATCGAGCGAGGAGTTAGCCCGGTTGCTGGAGTCTGACTTGCTCTGCGTTGCGAACGAAGCCGACGTCCTCTCGGCTTGCATCCTCTGGGCTAACCAGCAGACGCCAGAAGAGGTGGCACGTCTACCCGAGCTGCTCAGTCGCGTACGCCTCACTCTCGTTCATCCGACTATACTGGCAGGTAAAAGCGATCCCTGAGGTATAATCATGTTCAGCTGGATGCATGTTCAACGCCTTTATTGAGCTTATCAACCAAACCAGGCGGA